GCCATCAGTTAGTACATGAGGAAAAGAAAGGAATGGGCTGGGAAGTAAGAAACATAAAAATAAACTGCTGAGCAAATTGCGTGAGGCGACATTAAATTAGGCAAACGAGCGGTTTATTGATTTCTATTCTCTACTTCCACGCGCTCTCTCGCTCTCGCTCTCTCTCTCTCCCTCTTTTTTGCAGACACGCTTTGAACTCCTTTTTCGGGCAGCACTTGTGAATGTCAATGACTCGCCGCGACTCAGATCAGCTGATGCATAATAAACAAGCCGAAGCCAGCGAGTGCAAGAGAGATCGAGTGGGAGTAAGGGAGAAGGGCAGAGTTATAGATAAATAACAGTCATATGTAACACTGATTGTGCGTGGCACTTCCTGTGAAGCATGCCAAATTATCTACTACTTATAAACTGTTGCCGCGATATAAATGTGGTCTTATCGCATAAGCGTTGTCCGCATGAATCATTTATTGTGGAGCATACCTTCTCAGACATGACCATATTGTTGTCCTCGGTGCCGTAGACCGTTTCGGCGCCCGACTGCGGTCCACAGTTGTTGAGCATTGTGTCATCGTTGTCCATCATGCTGATTGTTGTTGTTGTTGTTGGTCTTTGACTCTCTCTCTCAATTTTGTATTTCTTCCTAATTACGCATTTGAGTGTGGGTGCACGGGTGAGCGTGTGTGTATGGGGTTGTCACACGTCACGCGTTATGCAGCTTTCCACCCCAAACAACAACAACAGACACTGTCCAGCTACTGTGTGTGCTGCACCCACACAGGCACACACATTTGCATACATACACACACCAATACAGGTGCAGTGGTCGTTTTATTTGTTATTTGTTTTCGTAGTGCTCACTGTGTTGAGTTTTTGTGTTTTGTATATTATAGATGTAGCTTGATTATTTTTAATATAATTGCATTCTCTACTTGTTCTGCGTGTCACTTATTTGCGTTTTTCGCTGTGGCTATGTTTGGCCATCAGCCTCTTGCCCCCTCCATTTACGACGTATTTTTGATTACTTTTCATATTTTCGCGTACGATTTTCGCACATTTTAGCTCAGTGTCGCACTCAATTTATATAAGAACCACTTAGCCACATAGCTGGACTATAATTTGAAACAATTTTATCAGTAAAACACGCTGGTTTCGTCGCATTTTATCAATAAAATATGTGAGAACATCAGCCGAGCAACCGATTTTCGTGATGAATGAGAAATGACTGTAGTGTTGGCAAACGCCAAAGAGACTCAAAGTGGCCGTATAACAAAAAGTTAATAGCTATTGCACGTATAGACTATCGATATATCGATGACGTCTGTGACACGCTGTCTTTTGACGTTTGTGTTGTTGCTGGATTTCGATTTCTTTTTATTTTTTGCGATTGCATTTAACAAATAAAATATCAACATGGTGTTTGTTAAAAATTGGGAGGACTTTGAAATCGCCGCGGAGAACATGTATATGGCGAACCCACAAAACTGCCGGTACACCATGAAATACGTGCACAACAAGGGGCACTTACTGCTCAAAATGACGGACAATGTGAAGGTATTAAAAATTGCTAAGAAATAAATAAATTGTACATACCTAATGTATGTGTGTTTGTTTTCAGTGTGTGCAGTATAAAGCGGAAAATATGCCCGATCTGAAGAAAATTGAGAAAATCACAAGCAATCTTGTTGGTCATATGGCATCCAAGGAGTAGCTAATGCAACAAATTGGCCACGGCAGCAATTTGGATCAAATGAAACAACAACAACATCATAAACTATTTGCTGTTGGTTTTAGCTGAACCGTTTGCTGTGTGTTTCATCCTACACTTGTTTAGTTTATAAGCGCACTGGACCCACGGCAGGCTACGATGTGGTAACAAGAGTAGTTTACTGTTTAATTAACATTGTTATAAATGTTAGCTCTGTGCACAGCAGTCAGCCAAAGTATAAGGGTACCGGTGCTTTTTTTAAATTTATAATACTTTTGTATTTATTGTAATGTAAATGTGTGCAGTTAGCTGCACTATGGTGACATATTGAATTAGTACACATTTCCATGAAATGCTTTAAACAAATTAAATGGTGTTTTTATAAGAATATAAAATGTTTTTATATTTCAGTTATCGATTAATCTTTATTAACGACAATTGTAAAATGAGCTGTAGAGGGCGT